CCGCAACCTCCGCCTCCTGGGTTCAGGCAATTCTCCTGCCTCAGCCTCCTGAGTAGCTGGGATTACAGGCACGCGCCACCATGCCCAGCTAATTTTTTGTATTTTTTTTAGTAGAGACGGGGTTTCACCATGTTGACCAGGATGGTCTCGATCTCTCGACCTCGTGATCCACCCGCCTCGGCCTCCCAAAGTGCTGGGATTACAGGCTTGAGCCACCGCGCCCGGCCTTAAAAAATCCTTTTAAATCTCTTGTTACCCAACTTTAGCCATGCCAAGTGGCCAATATTTCTGGCTTTTGAACTTTACCTCCCAGGTGCTCAGAGAAAGAAAAATTTAAGACAATTCATGGAAGGGAGGAGAATTGACAAATGGTAAAGTTTACACAGGTATCGAACCAGAAAGGACTCATTCCTTAACCCAGGAATCAAACCCAGGCCACCACTGTGAAAGTACAAAACTTAGCTACTGAGCTGCAGTATTGGGCAGTCTCCATTGTGCTTCCCAGAAGGACCCTAGAGTACTTAAGTTTGAGTTTGCAAAAGCTTTTAACTAGTTTAACTACTCAAGATAATTTTTAGAGCTAATTGTTACATGAACCCTAAAATTTCTGTTCCCTGGAGGGCAGAAACCAACAGAAAGTACCACTAAATATTTACAAAGTCAAGCTCCCAAGGATGTAAAACAAGATGGAGACCTCATCCAATTTTTTTTTTAATGCACCTCAGTGTGTTGTTGTTCATTTGGAACATTAAACTGTAAGTTATCTTTAGTAAGATTTTGCTATTTCTGTAAGACTTTGATGTCTTCCAAGCCTAATGTAGAAACCAGAAGGAACTCTGCTTTGCAGAAAGTGAGGATCTCATTTTTACCTAAAATATTGACTTCACTTTCAGGTTTCCTTGATGAGCTTAGCGAATGATTTTTCCTACCTAAGTGTGCAAGAAAAATGAAACAAAGGGGTAGAAAATAAAAATCCCTGTGAATTTCTAAATGCCAAATTGTACAACCCTTGCAGTACTACCATTTACTACCAGTTTCTTTCCGACCTAGTCAAGTTTAAGAGGCCTCTAACTGGATCCAGGGCCTCTAACTGGATTATATCCCATCCTGGACCCAGTCCAGTTTCTGTCGTGACTTCCAAACCCTGTTTGGAACAGAAATTTGCTCAAAAAAACTTGGAGAGTTCACAACACAAATCCATGGAGTGTTGAAATCTGAGCGAGAACTTACCGTGATCCCAGCCACTTTGAGATATCAAAGGACACAAATGGGTCCAACAGGTACCTTGCTTGTTACAGGTTGGCATTTGCCTTATTTGAACACACTTTGAACACTTAACAGTCTATGAGTGGTTGAAGTATGGCCTCTGGGATTGGCCAAGACTCAGTTATTGTTATAGACACATACTGCTAAGTCAGGTTTTCACTCTTGTCTGCCTGTTAAGCTAGGTTACAGTTCATCCACAGGGACTCAAATATAGAAGTATGAAGTCCTCAGGCCATATTTAGTTTGCTTTAACCCTTAAATCCCACCCAAACAAATCAGCTTGAATCAGTGTGAAGAGAAGTGTGACAACTTTTAAACTTATCAGTTTGTTTCCAATTGTGTTGGTGTTTTAGCATTCAGCCCTAAAGCCCCTTACTCTTGGCCTCCTTCAGTTTTTTCCCCTCCCATGGTGGTATCAGAAAAGATCTACACTTAGTTATTTAAAATGAAACTTTGAGAAAAGCAAGACCCCTGGTTTTCTAAATTTTACTGATGCATTGAGTATTTCTAAGCTGCTGATAGACTAGAGTTGTTTGGTGTAGTGGTTCACCAGTATGTCCAATTGCTCACAAATTTTGACTCAAATGTTCTTTGCCAAATTGGCTTTGAGTTTCTCCTTTTTGCCATCATTTGCTTCATTAAATAATCTTTCTTTCTTTTAAATTTATAATCAAATGCAGTAGAAAAATTTTAAATGAGCTATTCTTTTTTTTTTTTTTTTTGAGACGGAGTTTCGCTCTTGTTACCCAGGCTGGAGTGCAATGGCGCGATCTCGGCTCACCGCAACCTCCGCCTCCTGGGTTCAGGCAATTCTCCTGCCTCCGCCTCCTGAGTAGCTGGGATTACAGGCACGCGCCACCACGCCCAGCTAGTTTTTTGTATTTTTAGTAGAGACGGGGTTTCACTATGTTGACCAAGATGGTCTCGATCTCTCGACCTCGTGATCCACCCGCCTCGGCCTCCCAAAGTGCTGGGATTACAGGCTTGAGCCACCGAGCCCGGCTTAAATGAGCTATTCTAAATAAAGTCTATCAATGATTTCTTATCTACATAGGTTTTTCCCTCAGAACTTAATATTTCAAAACTTAAATTACACATTAATAAACATATCTAATATCCTTGTGAGAAGGGCAAACTAATATGGAATTTGATTTGAATAAAGTCCCTTGAAATATCTTAATGTTCAAATTAATACTCCATAAAAAATCAATATTTATCTTATCTGAACATGTCTTAGAGTTAAAGTTTAAATAACACTAAGTTTGTAACTAAGAATAACCTAAAAACTAATTTTCAGGTCGTAACAACAAAGGAGGAAATAGGACAATTCTTTGCTCATTAAATCATTTAAATAAGTCCTCTTTTCAAACAAGATAAAACAAGAGATAACTCCAATATATTTATTTTACATTTGAACAGATACTTTTATTTAATACAGCTATTCATTATCTATAAAAGCCTTAGTTCAGAAACAGAAGTGAGCAACAGAAGGCAAAACATTTTATTTGTTTATTTATTTATTTATTTATTTATTTATTTTATTTTTGTTATTGTTATTCTGAGACAGAGTCTCGCTGTGTCCTCCATGCTTGAATGCAGTGGTGCAGTCTTGGCTCACCGTAACCTCTACCTCCTGGATTCAAGTGATTCTTGTGTCTCAGCCTTCCCAGTAGCTGGGAATACAGGTGCACACCCCCGCACCCAACTAATTTTTGTATTTTTTGGCAAAGATGGGATTTCACCATGTTGACCAGGCTGGTCTTGAACTCCTGTCCTCAAGTGATCTGCTCGCCTTGGCCTCCCAAAGTGCTGGGATTACAGGTGTGAGCCAATGTGCCCGGCCCAAAACATTTTAAATATAATAAAACCAAGAGGGGGTAAATATATATACACACACACACACACACACACACACGTGTAAATATATATACACACACACACACACACACACACACACACACGCACACACACACATATTCTCACTGTATCAGCGTGCTGTATAAAAACTTTACTCCAATAGCATGAACTTACTAATTTGGTCTAATTTTAAATATAGAAAGAGAGTGTGAATTAATAAACAAAACAAAACAAAACAAACGGAATCATAAAGCATTGTATAAAAATGAGTAAAGAAGTAATTTTTACCCTGAAGTCCAAGGTCAAATTGGGCTAGCGAAGTTCGCTCGGCCATTTTGGTTATTTAGTACAGGTCCTTAGAGAACCTGTTTAAACAAATAAGTCTGATCTGTTGCTAACAGGTCCATTGTTAATAGGTAAAAAGGTGTCTGTGATCAATTTAGTCTCTTCTAACTTCTTAGTACAACCTTTTCTCCCAACCCAATTTGTACCCTCAATGCAGAGAGTGCTTTTAAACGCAATGGCAATGCTAACAGATAGCTTGGGGGAAGAAGTGGGATGTTTATGGCTTCTCCCTTTTCTTTCCAAACCCCCGCCCCACTGATCCTTAATAAACACACTGTCGGCCGGGCGCGGTGTCTCAAGCCTGTAATCCCAGCACTTTGGGAGGCCGAGGCGGGTGGATCACGAGGTCGAGAGATCGAGACCAACCTGGTCAACATGGTGAAACCCCGTCTCTACTAAAAATACAAAAAATTAGCTGGGCATGGTGGCACGTGCCTGTAATCCCAGCTACTCGGAGGCTGAGGCAGGAGAATTGCCTGAACCCAGGAGGCGGAGGTTGCGGTGAGCCGAGATTGCGCCATTGCACTCCAGCCTGGGTAACAAGAGCGAAACTCCGTCTCAAAAAAAAAATAAAAATAAAAATAAAAAAATAAACACACTGTCTAGGTAGAAACCACTTCTCACTATGCCACACAACTGCAAGACACATTCCCCAGCCTCCTTCTCCATTCATGTAAAGAAAGTTTGGAGCTGCCACCATCATTACAACCCTATTTGAAATAATTACAAAATCTAGAATTAGAAGAGTTTACATTTTAGGGCTCTATTATGTAACATTCTCTTTTTAAATATTCAGTAGTTATGGTCACCTTGGAAAGTTCTGCAAAATATCCCTTAAGTTTTTCAAACTTTCCCACATGGATATCTTCTGGTTATTAATAGTTTGCTCCATTTAATATGTACACAGTTTCACTGCCAGGGTGGTGCTTCTACTTATCTTGAATATTGTGAGTGTTTTGAAATGTTTCTGCTCATTGAAAAAGGAAGCCAAGAAATAGAGATGAGAGGAAAATCTGAAAAGATAATGACACAATTTCCCACTTAATTTTCATCAGATAAGCAATGAAAACTTTAGCTTCTGCATCAGAAAGTTTGCTTTTTTTTAAATTAATTTTCTTTTTTTTTTTTTTTTTTTAGTCAGGATCTCACTCTGTCACCCAGAGTGAGTGCAGTGGCATCATCACAGCTCACTGCAGCCTTGATCTCCCAGGCTCAAGTGATCTTTCCACCTCAGTCTCCCAAGTAGCTGGGACAACAGACATGCACCACCACACCCAGCTAATTTTTTAATATTCTGTAGAGACAGGGTCTTGCTATGTTGCCCAGGCTAGTCTCGAACTCCTGAACTCAAGTGGTCCTCCCACCTTGGCCTCCCAAAGTGCTGGGATTAGAGGTGTGAGCCACTGTGCCCGACCTAGAAAATTTGATTTTTTAATATACATGAAGTCAACTAGAATAAAATGTATATGTTATTCTGTAATTAGAATTATTCTATTGCCTGCTTCTTCTAATGTGTCAATTTTGTTTTTTAGAATTAAAAGACGAATCTTATTTTTAATACCAAAGTGGCTTTATGAAGATATTCCTAATATGAAAAACAGCAATGTTGTGAAAATGCTACAGGTAACCTAACATCATCCAACAAAAACTGGGTGGCCACTGAGACCAAGAGTGCAGTCTAATTAGAATAGAATTTCCATTCAAATAAATAAATGTGTATACATATTAACATAAGCATATATACATAAGTAAAAACAAAATTGTACATATTTTAAACCCTACTTAAAAGAGATGAGATGATAGAGTTGGGGAAAGAAAACAGAGAAGAAATAAAGAAACAAAGCTGTTCGAAAAGGGAAAAGTGAAGTGGAAGATTGTGGGCCTGGTGCACAAGTCACCTGGTGACCATGCAATTGGTAGATATCTTCAGGAACAGAGGGAGTAGGGAAGAAAAGCTGAATGAGGTAAGCCTTGAAGACTCAAAGGGCTTCTCTTTCACATGAGATAGAGAACCAGGTGGAGCCCAAGAAGGGCATCGTTTTACTCGTTAGACCCAATGGGATTTCAGAAAAGCAGTGTGGGAGAACTGTGAGCAATAGTGTCACAGGGGTGGGCTAGGTTTCCATTCTGGCAAAGAGAAGGCCACACACCAGGAAAACTCTAAGGATACAGGGACTTCACTGGCTATAAAGGAGGGAAGGAACAGCTGTGTGTGTTTCTGATACCCGCCGCCCCCGCCAAGAGGCTCAAAACACAGTCCAAGGGACAAACACATCATCCAAGCCTCGCAATGCAGTGATATAACTGCGATGATAGAAATGAGCCCAAACGTGATGGGAGCGGAGAAGAAACACTGAAAGATGAGGAGCTGCTCAGGAGAAACAGAGGGAATTCAAAGTCAGGAGGACCCCTGGGGGTTAGAGTAGCATGTTGGGTAAGGAGATGAAGTGTTTGTAAAACAAATAGAAGTAGCTCTGTTTCAAGCTCTGGTGAGCCTATTAGCTAACTCCCCAACCTCATGTCATTTGAACAAAGGGTTTCTAGGATAAAAATAAAATACGTTTTAAAAGTTCAGAAACAACTGGTCAACAGAATGGAGTCTGAATTCTGTAATGTAAGACTTCTGTGATCTGATCCACTCACCATTCCGGCATTACTCCAGCCACTTCTCACATCAAGCTTCTCAATGAAGCAACACCCAGTGTACTATTCTTACCAAAACCTGGCAAACTCCCTAAGAAGGCTGGGCCTGAGGAAAATTGGAATGACACTTCATGTCTCGTTATTCAAGATTTCCCTCTTTGCTAAACTCCCTTCCTATTCTGGGCTCCTGGAATTAGAGGTAAACCTTAGGGTTTCCCTCAGATAAGGTGTTCTTTTCTGCCTAAGGGACTAAGGAATGGTGTCTTAGTCTGCTTGGGTGGCTTAAACAACAAACATGTATTTGTCACAGTGCTGGAGGCTGGAAAGTCCATGATCAAGGAACCAGTCAATTCACTTGCTAGTGAGGGCTGTCTTGTGGACAGCTGCCTTCACACATTGGCAGAGAGATCGTCTCTCTCCTGTCTCTTCTTCACAAATCCCATTCATGAGAGCTCCACCCTGGTGACCTAATTACCATCCAAAGGCTCAACTTTCAAATATCATCACATTGGCTTCACCATGAGTGGGGCTGAGAAGAGGGCACATAAACATTCAGTCCATAACAGGGGGCTCTAATTTTATAATTGCGTTGGGTGACAGTTTGGCCAGGAAGGCCAGCCATCTGCTGGAAGGCCTCAAGTCCATTTATTGCCCAGAAGATTTATCAGGCTAAAACCTTCACTCACCCTCTTGATCATCACAGTCATGTCTGAATTGTGAGTAGCTATACACCTTTATTTGTTTGTTGTTTTTTGTTTTGAGACAGAGTCTTGCTTTGTCACCCAGGCTGGAGTGCAGTGGCGCGATCTCTGCTTACATAACCTCTGCCTCCCGGGATCAAGCAATTCTCCTGCTTCAGCCTCCTGAGTAGTTGGGGGACTCCAGGCTTGTGCTACCATGCCTGGCTAATTTTTGTATTTTTAGTAGAGATGGGGTTTCACCATGTTGGCCAGGCTGGTCTTGAACTCCTGGTCTCAAGTGATCTGCCTGCCTTGGCCTAAAAATGCTGGTATTGCAGGCCTGAGCCACTGTTCCCAGCCACTATACACCTCTAGAACCTCAGCGGCAAGCATTTGTCACACGCTCATTCTCAGTATATAAGGAAAACAGGATTCTTCCCAACCTGTTTTTAATTTAAGCAACAAAGTATTTTCTTGTAATAAGAAATAATATTCTTTGAATGTTAAGAAATATTATAACATGTTTCTAAGATCAGCTTTTTTTTTTTTTTTTTTTTTTTTTTGAGACAGTGTCATTTTGAGAAAAGCAATTTGAGAATAGCAATGTGAGAGGACTGTGAAAGACAGTGTCACGGGGCGGGCGAGGTGGACCAGGCTGGAGTGCAGTGGCGCAATCTCAGCTCAGTGCAGCCTTCACCTCCCAGGTTCAAGCGATTCTCCTGCCTCAGAAGACCAACTTTTAAAAGGCTCTAACATTCAGTAATAAGCTAATATATAAGACTCAACTTTCCTCTTTAAAACTTTTAAACCGAGACGTGTGCTTAAGAAGTGGATTATTTTTATTATTCCTTTTCTTCAGTCTCCTCCTGCAGAATTTAATAAAGATTTGGAAGCAAGTAGGCCAACAGAAGACAAAAGGAGGAAATCATATGGGAAAATAAACAATATGAGAAAAGGGAGGGAGAAAGGAAAGTGGAAAGAAAACAAAATTCCAGTTCTCATTCGATGATCCAGTTGGTTCTTTTAAATGTCTTTTGTAAAATAAAACAATGTCTTTCTTTCCTAGGAAAAAAGTGAACTTATGAATAATAATTCCAGCGAACAGGTCCTGTATGTTGATCCCATGATTACAGAGATAAGCGAAATCTTTATCCCACAACACAGGCCTGCAGACTACAAGAAGGAAAAGAATACAGGACCCCTGGAGACAAGAGACTACCTCCAAAACTCGCTATTCGACAATACTACAGTTGTGTATATTCCTGATCTCAACACTGGATATAAACCCCAAATTTCAAATTTTCTGCCTGGAGGAAACCTTCTCAGCAGTAATGATGAAATCACTTCCTTAACACTTAAACCACCATTTGATTCCTTAGACTTAGGAAATAATCCCAGGTTAAAAAAGCATCCTAATTTTGCTTTTTCTGTCTCAAGTGTGAATTCACTGAGCCACACACTATTTCTTGAAGAATTAAGCCTCATATTAAATCAAGGAGAATGCAGTCCTCCTGACATACAAAACTCAATAGAGGAGGAACCCACCACGCTTTTGGAAAATGATTCACCCAATGAAACTATTCCAGAACAGACCCTGCTTCCTGATGAATTTGTCTCCTGTTTGGGGATCCTGAATGAGGAGTTGCCATCTACTAATTCTTATTTTCCACAAAACATTTTGGAAAGCCACTTCAGCAGGATTTCACTCTTGGAAAAGTAGAGCTGTAAGGTCAAAATCAATATGACAAAGCTGCTTTGAAATCTGAACTCAAGTTTTTCCTGCAATAGAAATGGAATTCAGCCTGTTTTTGAAAAGATTTATCCACATACAAATCTTCATGTGGACACATGTTTTCATTTCCCTTGGATGAATACCTAGGTCGGGGGTTGCTGGGCCTTATGATAAGCATATGTTTCAGTTCTACCAATCTCGTTTCCAGAACAGTGACATTCTGTGCTCCTACCATCAACATGTGAAAATGCCAGGAGCTCCACAGCCTTTTATTTTTAGCCATTCTTCTGCCTCATTTCTTTTTTCTTTTTTTTTTTTTCCTATTGCAAAGCTACTGAAAATCAAACTGCCTCATTTCTTAAAATTAGAGAATTAAGATCTGAAGTTGGAGCATACTTCATGGTCACACAGACACAAAAGCAGCGTTATTTGGATACCTCCTATATTTTTTATAAAGCATCACCTATTTCCTCTTTATTTTCCCTCACTGAAAGATGCAAAACAGTTTTCTATTGTATAAAGAAAGGATAAATCATGCACAGTATCTGGTAGTAAAATACATCCTTAAAATTGTCCTTTAAAATAGAATTAGGCTGGGCGTGGTGGCTCATGCCTTTAATCCCAGCACTTTGGGAGGCTGAGATGGGTGGATCAACTGATTTCAGGAATTCAAGACCAGCCTGGACAACATGCTGAAACCTTATCTCTACCAAAAATACAAAAATTATTGGGGGCATCGTGTTGGGGCACTTGTAATCCCAGCTACTCGGGAGGCTGAGGCTGGAGAATCACTTGAACCAGAAAGGCGGAGGTTGCAGTGAGCTAAGATTGCACTACTGCAGTCCAGCCTAGGCAGCAAGAGCAAAACTCCATCTAAAATTTAAAAATATATATATATTTGCTTGCAAAGAAAGAGGCAAGTTTAGTTTTCATTTTATCACTTAAAATTCTCTTGAGTGTATAAAAAATATAGCCCCAAATGACAAAATAAATGAAGACTAGAAACAGAAGAGAAGTTAATTAGCCATTTGCTGTATTATTTTTCCCCCTACTTTCCATTCAGGTATTAGGGATTTGATCTTACTGTGATTTGTTAAGAGTGATGGCCTTGTTTTCCTGTGGCATAGTTGGGATATTATTTACACTGTGATAGAGCCTATGAGAGGTAACAGATGCAGGATCACCAAGGTGTAATTTTTTTGTTACATACTAGATATATGTTAGAAAATTGTTGTTAAAACAGGTATTTGTGCCGGGCGCGGTGGCTCAAGCCTGTAATCCTAGCACTTTGGGAGGCCGAGGCGGGTGGATCACAAGGTCGAGAGATCGAGACCAACCTGGTCAACATGGTGAAACCCCGTCTCTACTAAAAATACAAAAAATTAGCTGGGCATGGTGGCGCATGCCTGTAATCCCAGCTACTCAGGAGGCTGAGGCAGGAAAATTGCCTGAACCCAGGAGGCGGAGGTTGCGGTGAGCCGAGATCGTGCCATTGCACTCCAGCCTGGGTAACAAGAGCGAAACTCCGTCTCAAAAAAAAAAAAAAAAAACAGGTATTTGTTCAGTACCTGTTTTGATGGCAAATACCTGCTCAACCTACCATTGTCTTATATTCTATGTCTCCTGCAGATATCACTAGCCAGTCAGAACAGCCCTTTCTGCTGAGCTGTACCGCGCCGCAGAAGCCTCCCAAGCAGTGCTCCTCATGGCCACAGTCTATAAGAACTGGGGTGGGAGATGAGATCTATCTTGAGGTCAATATGGAAAGGTGATTAAATGTATTGTAAGCTGAGAAATGTTACCCAGAAAATTTTCCTATTGCGATTAACATTTATGGGCAAGGGCAACTTTTTTGAATAAGTGGAACAATTTAAAACAGGGTAGAGCAGGGCATGTAAATTCATGCCTGCAGTCCTAGCTACTCAGGAGGCTGAGGCAGAAGGAACACTTGAGCCCAGGAGTGACACTGCAGTGCGCTGTGACGGATGATGGTGTGCCAGGGCGGCAAAGCCAGACCCCGTCTCTAAAACGTAAATAAAAACTCAGACATTCGTTAAAATAGGTAGATTACCCACTGAATTTCTTTTTCTCTAGCAGTTGCCAATTCCTACTCATATTTAATCATTTAATTTTATGAAAAATCAAGCAGTTAATTTAAAAAAGACTCGTTGCTTACTGTGTCTTTAGCACATAAGGCTATTTTTGGGTTTTTGTTCGTTTGTTTGTTTTGTTTTGTTTTTACAAAAATCCGAAAGCAGTTCTATGGTCATTAAGTATCCCTAAAATGAGGTTGACCGTGTATCACAGTTTGCCCTGGTTTTTGTCCATTGTCGCAGTGTTAATTATGACCAGTAACCACCTTCATTCACTCTCAGAAGCATCCTTTATTTGGATAATAAATCATATGGTCACTCAAGACTAATGTCCGGTGTATAAGTAAATTGATCAGAATTTGTCTTTTTTTGCACTGACGATCCTCTTTATTTTACCTCTTATCATTTACTAAGGCCATTTTGCTCTAAAAGAATATTCATAGCGTTAAAAAAATGTATCCCCTGATATGAAACTCTATTCTGTTTATCTTAAAATATGTATATGTTTGTTATACTTTGCATATTCTAAAAGCAATGTATTTTAAATCACTAACGAAATGCTAATCTTAAATATCTTGACTTGTAAATTGTCATATGCCTTTGATGGATTCTTCTGCAAATGGAGAATCATAAAGAAGCAGGTAGCTTTGGAGATCAAAATAACAGAAGATTAAATCTTTGATGTTTGCCGGCCTGATGAAGGCATCTGGTGACGTGAAGAATATTTTTATAGCATGTTTCACCATAATTGTCATCTATCACACATGAAAAAAAGCTTTTATCAAGCTTAAAGGATTACAGCATTATTTGATCTTCTGCAAATGCTTCCATTACAGCCAGTGCCACCTCCTCACCCCCTGTAGTGGAAAGGATGCTGCTTTCTCATTCAGTGATGACTTAACCCACATCACTGTTCAGCACAGAGGAGACACTTCTGATTCTGTCTTTGCCATTAGCCCTTGTCAGTCCCAATGGACTAGAAATTGAGACTATACCTGCAATGAGAGCAATGTACCTGCCTTTGTCCCAACTCGGGAAAATTTTAAGCTGCTTTATCACAACGCAACCTTTGCAGAGGGAGAAAGGGTTTCTTTCTATAATTCTTTTATTCAAGAAGTATTCATTGAACTATTGAATGCCCTTACTAGTATACATGCAAGGCACTTTGAAGGATATGGATGTTAACAAAACCAGTCAATCCCTGCAGCCTTGGGGCTTATATTCTAGGGAAAAGGGACAGACAGTAAATTAGGACAAGTCATTTCCCCCAAGGAGCTTACATTTTAGTACGGAAGAGGCCAGAGGTAGGGGATGGAGAGAGACAGAAAAAACTTCAGGAAAATGTCAGATAGTAAGTGCTGTATAGAGAGGTAAAATGGGATAATGTGGTAGAGAGCAACTCACTGGCCACTTGGCACTGGTTGGTCAGGAAAGATCACTCCCAGGAAGTGATGTTCATCTGAGTCTCAGGTGAGAGCCAGCTTGCCACTGACAAATTCCTTCTATAAAGTCTTGAGTGGCTAATGTCTTTACTCCTTTCCCTCCCGTACACCTTGCCCCTAGTTACCTCCCAGCCTGACCACACCCCACCTCCCATCTTTACTAGAATTTTCTGCAGATTCTGAGGACAATTGCATGTCTTTTCATCTTTCTATCTAGCTCTTGGGCCTATTATTAACTTTCCTTCTCTGAGTCTCACAATCTTTTAAGTTGCTGATTCCTGAAGGGGCATGTCCTGCTTCTTGGTATGGGGAAAGGGGAGGAAAGGAGAGAGAAAAAGAGAGGAAAAGCCTCTCAAGGTATGAATCAGAGGGAGGAAAGGAATAGAAATACAAAGAAAGAGGGCAAGTTCATCCTCAGGAATGCCGAAGCCAAATGGAGTGCCATAGTTCTGGAAGCCACTAATAATGAAGGAATATTGTTTCCTCCTGTTCAAGTATCTTTCTCTCTACCTCTCTTTTCGTGCATAAAACCATAGGAGGAGGTGCAAGTGAAGTACAGTTTTGGGGGTTCGCTTGGCACCTGTGCAGGTGTGTGTGTGTTTAATTAGAATTGCTTTAAAAAAAAATTGCTCTGTCACTCAGGCTGGAGTGGAGTGGCACAATTGTGGCTCACTGCAGCCTCAACCTCTGAGGCCCGAGCGATTCTCCTATCCCAGCCTCCTGAGTAGCAAGTGCACACCACCCTACCCAGCTGTATTGTAAATTTTCTGTGGAAACAGTCTTACCATTTTTCTCAGGCCTGGTCTCAAACTCCTGGGCTTAAGCAATCCTCCCGCCTTGATGACTCAAAGTACTGGGAATTACAGGCATGAACCACGGCATCCAGCCTAAAATTACGATTTCTTTTTTGTTATAAATAGTATTGAAGAGAGGCTTATGAGTTTTTAAGATGTGGTTCTCAGGTAATGTGGATTGCTGTTTGGCCTTCTGATACGTTCCCTTGAGTGGCTAATTCTTATATTTTTAGTCATCCTCCCTTTGACATAGAGACAGCACATGACTATGGCATTGAGCAAAGGTTTTTAAAAATAAATTTTAGCAGTTGATTCCCTTTCTCCAAATGCAATCTGTTGACTAGGTGCAGTACTTCATGCCTGTAATCCCAGCACTTTGGAAGGCTGAGGCGAGCAGATCATTTGAGGTCAGGAGTTCGAGACCAGCCTGGCCAACATGATGAAACCCAATCTCTACTAAAAATACAAAAATTAGCCGGGCATGGCAGTGCCTGCCCATGATCCAAGCTACTCAGGAGGCTGAGGCAGGAGAATTGCTTGAACCTGGGAGGCGAAGGTTGCAGTGAGCCAAGATCCTGCCACTACACTCCAACCTGGGTGGCAGAGTGAGACTCGTCTCAAAAAAAAGAAAAGAAAAGAAAAAATGCAATCTGTTGCAGAATCCTCAAATGTAACACAGATGAATGCAAATCTGTTGAAACAGACGCTGGAGGTCATATCTGTGCCCTCTGCCCCTCCCTCTCTCTTCTCCACACTTGCCTCTGAAGCAACATTGAAAAGCTGAGGCTGGGGGCTCCACTCTTCTATACTTAGGAGACCGGGGTCCTGGACAGCCCTTGAGAAGCCTGTACTTGAGGACTGAACCTCACTCTGCACTTCAGCACAGGCTGTCAACACAGCTCAGGGGACCAGAACCAAACCCTCCTCAAACTATATTCAGATTTATGACTGCAAAAAGGGCTTTCTGTCAGAGGCTGCTAATAGAGGCAGTACTACAGGCAATAATTAACTTGCTTCTCCCAATTACTTTACCATAAATGTCTGGACTTTGTTCAAGTTTATGTTCTTTTTAAGATCACTAAGAATAAAATATTGTGTTGTGAACATAATTAGATTTTATAAACCCAAAGACTGTGGAATTATGCTGTGGTTTATCTCTTTATGAAGTAATTATACCAATTATAGGAGGCGATGTTTTAATGGGAAATGTTACCCATTTGGCAGGCACTATTGGTTTAAAATGAAGTGATTAAAAATAATTTATGAATCTCTCTTGGGTAAAGAATGAAAACAATATAAAATAATTGGATTCTGATTCATTAATTGTACAGAACTTTCTCAGATGCTATAGTTAAGGCAAAATTACAGGGAACTCTAACAAAAGTTTGATAGAATGTTATGATGTGTCTTTCCCACTGCTAAGATTACATCATTAAACCCTAATTAATGTTTTATGTTAGGGCTTTCTTAGCTATTTTGCTAATTTCACTTTTCAACTTAAGATAGCCACACTGCACCTTTTATATACGGAATTCCCATCAATTTCCTAAAGATGAATTCCCATTATGCTTATATTGAGGAATATAAGTTATTACCTAGTTCTCATAATTAGCATTTAGCAGCAAACTAAGAACTTATTCTTAAGTGGTCCATTTTTGTCTGGGGTAGTAAAAGCATTCTAGGTTATTTTTATGAGAGGGGAAAAACCCCTAAACAACAGTGTTACAGAAGTGTAGCTCTTTTTTGAGATTGTTGCTTTAAAAACTGAAGCAAAACAAAATGCTTTTTCTAACCATACAGGCATACCTAAAATTAGAGACTGTCAGAGCACAGGAAGGAAATCATAAATAGTCAAACACTGGAACCCAAGTGTGAGATACGGAAGTCAATAAACGTTACTGTTTTCTTTCTGTTCACATCCTGCCTGAGAATTTTATTAGAGGAGAGTACGAGAGAAAGAATACAATAGTAAAATAAAGGGAAAGCATTTTTATTTCTAAACTTCACTGTAATTCATGAAAACACATTTTTTAAAAATCAAGGTAATACCAGTGTAAATGGAGTGAAAAGTGACTGTTCCTATTCACCCCCTTTTTCCCACTTCCCACCTCATCATCATAGGTAATGAAAATATGATATTGTTCTTTGACATACTATTTTTCACCTAACAATATGTCTCAGAAATCTTCACGTGTCATTATATGTAGCTTTACCTTATTTTTTTAAACAATTGCCTAATAATCTATAGCAGGCGTCCCCAAACTTTTTACACAGGGGGCCAGTTCACTGTCCCTCAGACCATTGGAGGGCCGCCACATACTGTGCTCCTCCCACTGACCACCAATGAAAGAGGTGCCCCTTCCTGAAGTGCAGCGGGGAGCCGGATAAATGGCCTCAGGGGGCTGCATTCGGCCTGCGGGCCGTAGTTTGGGGATGCCTGATCTATAGAATAAATTTAGACAATATAGTTACCTAATTTATTAATGTACATTTAGGTTATTTCCAGTTTTTCACTAGTACACCTATTCCTTTAATAATTCCTCTTGCACATATGTTTATACACATATAAAAATTTTGTGTGTTAGGTTGTGCGGGACAGATATCTAAATGTGGAATTGCTGGGTCAGGAGAAAGAATAAAGTCATTTACATTTTGCAGCCAGGTGAGGTGGTGTTCTCCCGTGGTCCCAGCTATGTGAGAGGCTGAAGTGGGAGGATTGCATGAGCCCAGGAGTCCAAGACCAGGTTGGGCAACATACCAAGACCCTGTCTCAAAAAAAAAAAAAAAAAAAAAAAGATTTCAATAAATATTCCCAATTATTTGTCTAAAAAGGCTTTGCCAATATTATCAGTATGTAAAATGTTTGCCAACCTGATGGGTATCTTGTTTGCATTGTTTTTTTCATGAGGTTGAATATTTTATTTGTTTGTTGCTCTTCTGTATTTCTTATTTTTTGGTTCACCTTTGTTATATTCTTTGGTCATTTTTCTACCGAGTTGTTGGTTATAGTCTTAGTCATTTCCAGGAGTGCTTTATATAAATCTTTTCTGTTACATGTTCTAAATACGCTTTTCCAGTCTGTATGTTATTTTTTTATCCTCATGTTTTCTTTTGCCAAACCAAAGTTTTAAAGTTGTATGTAGTTGATCTGTTGCCATTTTTCTTTTTTCTTTTTTTTCACTATGAAGGAAATTCTTCTTTTTATTTGATTTATGTATTTATCCAGACTGGGTATCATATTTAGTGTCAAAAGACAAAATTACAACAAATTTAGTTTAAAGATCTTAATTGGGGCTGGGCACAGTGGTTCACACCTGTAATCCCAGCACTTTGGGAGGCGGAGGCAGGTGGACCACCTGAGGTTGAGAGTTCAAGACCAGCCTGGCCAACATGCTGATACCCATCTCTACTAAAAATATAAAAATTAGTCAACCATGGTGGCACACACTTGTAATCCTAGCTACTCAGGAGGCTGAGGCAGGAGAATCGCTTGAATCTGGGAGGCAGAGGTTTCTGTGAGCCAAGATGGTGCCATTGCACTTCAGCTTGGGCGACAGAGTGAGACTCCACCTCAAAAAATATATATATCTTAATTGAGGCCAGACATGGTGGTTTATGCCTCTAATTCCAAAACTTTGGGAGGCTGAAGTGGGAGGATTGCTTGAGCTTGGGAGTTCAAGACCAGCCTGGGCAATATAGTGACACCCCATCTCTAATTAAAAAAATAATTAAAAAAATTTTTTTAAAAAATTGGCTTTTATTTGCGATTCTAAAATTGGACAACGCCTCATACTATAAAACGGAATGAGTGTTGTGATGAGCTGAGCAGAGGAAGTTGATGTTATAAACAGAAGTTCCTTTTCTTGTAAAGGTTAAAGCAGAAGGAATTTTCTTATCGTGCTGGCAAAATCTGGCCTGTTTAGGGATTTGGCTGTTATCTCTGAGTCTTGATTTGTTGAAAGGTTAGATAAAGATCCTAGTTTCAGCTGGTTGGTGTGAAACTTCAGCATGCCTTACTCCACTTTGGTTTTGTCTGTTGGGCCTAGTGCAGGGACTCAGTCCAAACCAATGATCTATTATACATCCTATTTAACATTAGCAAATATATATTTATGCTAGAATATGTAGTGATATCATATAGTCTGAACGTTGTCCCCACCAAATCTCATGTTGAATTGTAATCCCCAGTATTGGAGGTGGGACTAGGTGTGAGGTGAGTGGATCACGGGCAGATCTCTCAGGAATGACTTAGCACCATCTCCTTGGTAGTGAGTTCCCAAGAGAGCTGGTTGTTTGAAAGTGTGTGGCCCCTTTCCCTTCTCTCTCTCTTGCTTCTGCTCTCCCTGCATGAGATGCCTGCTCCTGCTTCATCTTCCACCATGATTGTAAGCAGCCCAAAGCTTCACCAGAAGCAAAGCAGCTACCAGTGCCATGCTTCATGTACAGCCTGCGGAACTGTGAGCCAGTTAAACCTCCTTTCTTTGTAAATTACCCAGCCTCAGATATTTCTTTCTTTTTTCTTTTTAAAAACATTTGTTTTTTCAATTTCATGGAAAAGAGGTTTTTCATTTTTCCAAAAATTGTACCAAGGTAAAGCAAAGTTCCAGTTGATGCAGTGCGATCTATAGGCATTAGCAGTACTGACCTCATTGTGCACTCATTACACAGTAGTGTGACCCCAAGGAAAGCATGGTTGGGTAGTTCTTTATAGCAATGCAAGAACAGCCTAACACATGGTGGTATTAAGCAATGAGCATTAGAACAGCAGCCATTAGAAGAAACAGATCAGATCAGAATCTACCTTTCTGGCTGGATGCAGTAGCTCACATCTGTAATCCCAGCCCTTTGGGAGGCTGAGGCAGGCGGATCACCTGAGGTAAGAAGTTCGAGAGCAGTCTGGCCAACATGGTAAAACCCTGTCTCTACTAAAAGTACAAAAAATTAGCTGGGCATGGTGGTGCATGCCTGTAATCCCAGCTACTCAGGAGGCTGAGGCAGGAGAATCGCTTGAACCTGGGAGGTGGTTGTTGCAGTGAGCCAAGATCGCACCATTGCACTCCAGCCTGGGTGACAAAGCAAAACTCCATCTCAAAAAAATGAATGAATAAATAAAAAGAATCCACCTTTCTCAGATCCTGGCTCTGTGGTTTCCAGCAAACCCTGAACCAAGAGGATTCAGTTTCTTTTTCCTTAAAAAAGATCCTATTAATATCTTCCTCTGGCCATTTGTTGAGAAGATTAAATAACATTTGGAAACACTGGCAGGCTGGTCACGGTGGCTCACACCTGTAATCCCAGTACTGTGGGAAGCTGAGGCCAGCAGATCACTTGAGCCCAGTATTTTGAGACCAGCCTGGGCAACATGACAAAACTCAATTTTTACAAAAAGTTAGCCGGCTGTGGTGGTATATACCTATACTTCCAGCTACTCAGGAGGCTGAGGTGGGAGGACTGCTTCAGTTTGGAAGGCAGCGCTTTCAGTGGGCTGAGATTGGGCCACTGCACTCCAGCCTGGGCAACAGAGCAAGACACTATGTCAAAAAAAGAGTAAGAATAAGAAGAAGAAAGAGGAAGAAATAAGAAGGAAGAAGAAGAGGAGGCAGAGGAGGAGGAGGAGGGGAGGAAGAAAAGGGGGGGAGGGAGAGGAGGGGGAGGAGGGGAAGAGGAGCAGGGAGGAGGAGGAGGAGGAGCAGCAGGGGAAGGAGCAGGAGGAGGGGAAGAGAAGGAGGGGGAGGAGGAGGAGGCAAAAATACTAGGTACCTGAGAGGAGAGGCAGAAAGTGTCAGTGGACTAAGTGGAGTGACAAAGAGGTGAAGAAACAGGACTAGAAAACTCTAAGAGCATGCACACTTAAGTAGTGCAGTACTGTTCCTGTCCAGCTATTAAATAGCACAACTCTAAATTCCTGTCATGTTCCTGATCTTTTGTTTTAGTGTTCAGGATCTCATAGTAAATATGCAAAATTTGATAATCGTTTGATATTGGTTGCTGCAATACTTCTTGCAAATCTCTTCTTATCTAGAATTAATTTTTTTTTTTTTTTTTTGAGACGGAGTTTCGCTCTTGTTACCCAGGCTGGAGTGCAATGGCGCGATCTCGGCTCACCGCAACCTCCGCCTCCTGGGTTCAGGCAATTCTCCTGCCTCAGCCTCCTGAGTAGCTGGGATTACAGGCACGCACCACCATGCCCAGCTAATTTTTTGTATTTTTAGTAGAGATGAGGGTTCACCATGTTGACCAGGATGGTCTTGATCTCTTGACCTTGTGATCCACCCGCCTCAGCCTCCCAAAGTGCTGGGATGACAGGCGTGAGCCACTGCACCCAGCTAGAATTAAAATGTATATATATTTTTAGATGGGGTTTCGCCATGTTACCCAGGTTGGTCTCAAACTCTTAGACTCAAGACATCCACTTCGGTCTCCCAAAGTGCTGAGATTACAGGCATGAGCCGCTGCATCCAGTCTTATCTACATTTAAACAAAGTTTAGCATTTATTTTACTTTGCAGTTCCATACAGAAGATTTATTTTAACTTAGTTGCTAAAATTGGAAATCACTTGTATCTCACTAAATGAAGAAATTAGGATTTTAAGAAACTGCCAGCTGCCAAGTATTTGAATATTCATTCTTTTTTTAGTATTCATTGCACATCCCATTCAATGTGTTACTTTGGAGATTCCATTTGATTGAATAGAGGCAGCCTATGCAGAACCCTGTGAAGAACAGGAGGGCAGCTGCTGAAGCCCAGAGCAATGCAGAAATGCAGAAAAACAATTCTAATGCAAGCAAAACAAAGAACAAAAAAACTGAAGCACTTTGCAAACACAATAAATGATATTAGCAGATTCAACCTATATTCATCACTTTCATGAAATTATCATTTTTGAGGCACTTACTAAAACTCTTACATTGTCTTTTCCATCTTGTTGCTTTTGTTTTACGGAGAAATAGAAATCTTCAATTAGAAAACAAATCCGAAAAGCATGTAGAACTTCAAATGTAACTGATATTGCAAATAGGTAGATTAAACTTTATTTTTTTCCTTTTAAAAGCTTGGATTAAGTTCAACCAATCAGAATTTTTTTGGTTAGCTTTTTGCTTGTTTGTTTTAGAGACAGGGTCTTGCTCTGTTACCCAGGCTGGAGTGCAGTGGTGCAATCATGGCTCATTGCATCCTTGAATTCTTGGGCTCAGTGATCTTGCCTCAGCCTCCTGAATAACTAGGACTACAGGTGCACCCATCATGCCTGGCTAACTTTTTGGTTTTATGTAGAGATGTTATCTCACTATCTTGTCCAGGCTGGTCTTGACCTTCTAGCCTCAAGCAATCCTCCTGCCTTGGCCTCCCAAAATGCTGGGATTACAGGTGTCAGGTACCATGCTTAACCACAGTCTGAGCTTTTGAATTTCATATTGACTACATGCCAAGTATGTGATGTTGGGCGGTGACTGGAGCTTCATGTTCTCTCCTTGTCCTACTTTCTGGGACAGGGATACTGATCTTGGTGTACCTGGCTTGAGAAAATTTGACTGAGTTGATTCTCTTCTCCCTGAAACACTTCTTTCTCCGAGGACACCACACACCTATGATCCCGTACTCTGACTGCTCATTCTCAGTCTACTTCTCTGGTTTCTCCTAGTCTCTTTGCCACCTAAATGTTGCAGGCCACACATTGAAGGTCTTGGTTTCTCCCTTGGTGATCTTGTTCATTCTTGTGACTTTAAACATGACCTACATGTTATAAGAATAGGCTAACCCAACATCGACCTTGAACTCGAGACTCGACTCCAGATCCAGCTGTCTACTTAGCATCTTAATTTATCTATCATCAAGGTACTTAAGACTCAAGACTTCTCTTCTCACAGGTGTCCCCATCTCAGTAAATAGTGTTGCCATTTTTCTAGTTGCCAAAAAAATCTTGGTGCCATCCTTGGCTTTTTTCTTTCATTCCTCCCATGTACTTCATCAGGAAAACCTATCCATCCTACCTTCAATATATTCAGAAATTGAATCACTTCTTACCATATCAACTCAACTGCCTAGCTCAAACTACAGTCATCTCTTGCCTGAGTTATTACAAAAGCCTCCCAAAGATCTGTCTTCGCTAGAGTAGCCAGATGATCCTGCTACAACTATACTTGTCGGCGCTAAACCTGCCAGTGGCTTCCCATCCCACACACGACAGGAGTCTGAGTCACTATAATGACCTAGGAGGCCCCACCTGGTTTACCTCTTTCTGTCCTAGTATCCTCCCCTGTAACCACTCAGCTCCAGACGCTGGCAATCTTGTAAGCACCCCAGGGTCTTTGCTCCTGCTGTTCCCTTCTAAATTGTTCACTAGCACGCTACCTCTCAGAATTCCTGTTGCCTCCTATTCAGCCTTCCCCAGCCATTCCACGGAAATGACAAACCTCCTCCACCCCAATGCATCCTAGTCTTCTCTGTTTCACCTTTCTTCACTGCACACACCACCATCTAAAATTGAACATACCATACATTTTACTCATTAATCTTATTCATTGTCTGTCAGTCACTACAATATAAGATCCAGGACGACAGGAATTGTGTCTACTCTGTTCCCTGTAAAGCTTTAATGCTTTGAACAGTGCTTGGCACATAGTAGGTGCTCAATAAATATTTGTTGACTGACTGACTGAATGAATAATAGATAATGGTCCAATCTATTCCATCTGCTTCTCATGAGACAGAAAACAATGTTTCATGAAGGCAAAGAGCTTTCAGACGTCAATGTGTTTTCTGAGGCTCTTCCTCAACACTCCATTATTTTATCACCACCATTATGTTTTTCCCCGAACTGTCACTCTATAATTGGCGAGAAAACAATGACATAATGTAAAATTATGTGTTTCTCTTTTCATCTATGCAGCTTTGCTTTGTTTTCTAGGACCACTCCAACAGACATTGGAGTCATTGAAATGACAGTCATTTTCAACAATTTTTATTTGCTTTTGACTGAAACCCTTTTTTCAAATAGATTCATGTGGTAGATAGAGTTAATAACATTAACTCTGAACCATTATCAGTGAGCAAACACTATCCTTCATTTCTCTGGGGGGAAATCAGTTTAGCCACCACACTAATTAGATAGCTCTCTGGCTGATGATGGGGCAGACAAAAGGTGTAGCACAGGTGTCCCCAAACTTTTTACACCGGGGGCCAGTTCACTGTCCCTCAGACCGTTGGAGGGCCGCCACATACTGTGCTCCTCTCACTGACCACCAATGAAACCAATGAAAGAGGTGCCCCTTCCTGAAGTGCGGCGGGGGTGGAGGGGCCAGATAAATGGCCTCAGGGGGCTGCATGCGGCCCGTGGGCCGTAGTTTGGGGACGCCTGGTGTAGCATGTTAAAGAAAATGAGCAAACAGGTGCAATCAACTTACAGAACATAAATTAATTATTTTTTTATTTTTTATTTTTTATTTTTTTTTGAGATAGGGACTCACTCTGCTGTCCGGGCTGGAGTGCAGTGGCACGATCTCGGCTCACTGCAGCCTTGACTTCCTCCACTTTCCAAGCTCAGGTAATCCTCCTGCCTCAGAATCTCATGAGCAGCTGGGACTACAGGCACACACCACCATGCCTGGCTAATTTTTTGTAGAGATGGGGTTTCAACATGTCCAGACTCATCTTGAACTCCAGGGCTCAAATGATCAGCCCACCTTGGCCCATAAA